AGTGGACTAAGCAACTAATATGTTTGTTCGAGTGCATGTGTGGCTGCTCAAACTGTGCACAGTTTCCCTGGCACGTTGCTTCTCAGGTTTGTCGAGTTTGGGAAGAAGGGCCCTGCCTGCTTTTTACAACCAATCAGCATGTAGGGAGTTTGTGGCGAACTACTTTCAGTCGCAAAGTGTTTTTGAGGCTTCGCCTGTCACTCAACCCATCCGAACCTCCAACTGGCAGCCCGCCGAACCTAGAAATACTCAGTTGACTTCCGTTGAGTAATTCAGGTCTTGGGCTTTCATGGCTTGGGACAGAGTTCGACTGGCTGGAGTCAGGTTCTGCGGAGGAGGTTCGGGTTTGGTTCGGTTTGGTTGGGCCGTTGCGCAAAGCTTGAAACGTGCGGACAACGAAAGGTGGTCGTGTCCAGTGGGGTGCGGAAAGGAATGGTGTGGTGTGGTTGATCCTCCACGCAACTGCGCCGGACTGCCAAAGCGTCACCATGCCGAGCCATTGTAGCCGTTGCTTGTCTGACAGGCAACTCTGGTCCGACACAAGGACTACTGTACATGTACACCCGCGGACTGACAGTCGGACTGGTGGGCTTCACAAGCAACGGTCCACGCGCGGGACACTGACTGGATAACGCTTTCCTCTGAAGAAAACTTTACCAGCAGAGCATGTGAGTTCCGGGAAACAAATATGCTGTTCTTGGAAATTTGGTGTACAATGCTCCAATCTGCCCTACCCCACTGTTAGAAAATAATTAGTAAGGGTATTTCAGGGCGTGGTACTCAGATTCCGCGGAGTCCCTGGTCCGCCGAATCAGGACTAGTCCGACGAGCAAGACCCGAACCATGTCCCACAAGAATCTCGCGGACTGGTCCGACGGACCAAACCAGTCCCTGCAATTTTGCAAGGCGGACCCTCGACCAGGGCGGACCAGGTACCAGAAACTGCACTCGCCTGGTCGTCGAGTTGGCTCACAACTGGTCTGCCCTGGTCCGCGGGCTAGACCGCTTGGTCCGTAGTGAGCAGAGGTTCTGCGAGCCCTGTGTAGCACGCCATTACTGAAAAAATAAAAGTGTACAAAACAAGCGCAGACAAAACGCTCGAATAGAAGGGCCAAGCTCTTGGAACTGTCTTTTTTGCGGTTGGGTTTGGCAGTGTCAAACAGAAATTTCAGGCGCAGACCAGCTCAAACACCAACAGAAATTTCATGCACTCGATCCGACCTCACGAAAATCACGTGCCATGTTTCCAGCCTGATTTTCAGTTCGTCCGAGGCGCGAGTACACTGTACTTCCAAACTTTGCGGTTCGGAAATTCAGCGGCTGGTAAATTTCAGTATTGCATTGCGCTTCGTTTTCTGTACTGGTAATGAAGTCAACATGATTTCAAAGCCTATACCTAAATGATATTATTTGCTTCTACAATGCAAGAATGCACTTATTAGTCGGGTGCGATGTAGAGAGGTAGCAAGGATTGCAATAAAGTGTAAAACGAGAACAAAGTATGAGCGAACGCATGAGAGAATACATATAAGCGAAAATGCAAACGGTAACGCGGTGCGTGCGAACTAGTTAATGCGATGCTGACATTGAGGTTCGGGCTAGTCCCGAGGCGTAGGCCGACTCGGCCAGGCCAGCGATGCATGGTTTGGCAAATGAAGCACGCGAAGGTTGGCGAAGCCCCGTTAGCAGTAACGGCCGAACAACGGTTGGCCCTGTACACGATGTTGAAGCATGCGGTAAGGAAAGTCGAAAAATCCCCTACACTACACCCTCTGCTACGCGAGTGCGTGTATATCGCGGAAACCCCGGCTTTGTAGGTACACTTGCAGGGCAGGGTGGTTTTCGATGTTGCCCAAGGGCACCCAGCTATCCTCCATGAGGGTGCGGTCCTTCCAGCGAACGAGGAACTCAATCCTCCGAATTCCTGTGGGGTGGCGAATCCGATAGCTCAGATTTTTTTTCAGAGGCGACGATCGGCTCCGATGGCGGGCGATGTCGTGCCAGTTGGCTCGTGGTGGTGATGTATGGGCGAAGCAGGCTGGCGTGGAACGACGGACTGATATACCAGTCGGTCAGCAGCAGGAGATGGGCGGTGACATGTGTTATCATGTTGCTGATCTGGAATGGGCCACAGTAGTGCGAGCAGAGTTTCGGCACGACGGGCAGGCGTAAGTTCTGCATGTCGATCAGTACGTAGTCTCTTGACTGGTACGTCACAGGGCGGCGGTGGCGGTCGGCGTTCCTTTTAGCGATGACATTTGCTTTTTTTAACTGCGTCTGCTGTGCGCGTCCGGGCAACTTGCAGAATCTCGGCAAATTGATGTGCGCGTGGTGTCGAGTTGTCAGGGCTCGTCATCATGGGCATTGTGGGGTTTTGCCCGTAGTTTAGGTAAAACGGTAACTGCTGCGTTCTCGTTGACATGGCGTTGTTGTAGGCGAACTCGATCAGCGGCAACTACTGCTCCCAGGTTGTCGGATCGTCGCATGTGGCACGAATCAGCTGCTCCATGGTCTGGTTTGTCCACTCTGTTTGACCGTCGGTCTCGGGGTGGTACGACGAGCCGAACTGTAGTGGGTCCCAAACTTCTCCAAGAGGTTCTTCCAGAAATTGCTGGCAAACTTCGTGTCGCGGTCGCTGATAATTGCGGCTAGTATCCCTTGCAAGCGAACGACGGTCTCGATGAACAGGCGAGCGATTTCTTCGGCTGAGATCGATATCCTGCATGCAGCGAAATGGGCCATTTTCGTCAGGCGGTCAATGACAACCATGACCGTGTCGTTACCACAAGGGCTTGAAGGTAACCCCGTGATGAAGTCCAATATAACCTGCTGCCAGGCGTGTTCGGGCGACGGAATCGGCAGCAATCGACCCAACTTTTTCTTGCACTAACTTTTCATCACCTACCACGTGGGGCACGATCCCACGTGGTGCTGTACGTCGGTCAACATTTTCGGCGAGTAATAATACCGCTGCAGTTGCTGTCGCGTTTTTTCAACCCCGAAGTGACCCGAGGTAACTCCGTCATGTGCCTCCTTTGGTAGCAGTTCCCTTAACAGTGAGTATGCCGGTACCCAAATGCGGTTGGTGTCAGTCTTAACGTAATAATAGACCCCCTTAGCTTCTGTCAATTGCTGCGAATTTCCCGTGGTGAAAAATGGCTCGATGCAGTATCTGTGGGTGAATAAGTCTGGTAACACTGGGTTGGTTTGGGCGAGTAGGATGGCGCGAAGTTGGGCAGTGGGGCGAGTGAGAGCGTCGGCAATGTTGGATGCTCTGTATGTGATCGTATAGTGAAAATTGGAGTCCAAATAGTCCAACCACCATTTCTATCGAAGATTGAGATTCGGTTGGGCGCGGAAGTACTGTAGTGCATGGTGTTCTGTCCGTACCATCACGTCAGCTCTTGTTAGGTAGCACCACCACACATTGAATGCGTGCACGATCGCCAGCATCTCGCGGTCGTGTATCGGATAGTTGCGTTTGGGCGGTTGAAGTTAGAGGGACTCGTACGCGATTGACTGAAGGCCGTTCCCGAAGTCCTGCAACAGTAGTGCTCCCACAGCGATGTCACTTGCAGTCGTGCAGTCAATGCGCGGGTTGTGTCGTCACAGCCAATCACGACCGAGTAAAATATCTGTCTCGTCGAGGGTTGTCGCCATAATTTCCTGGGTGAAGGTGAATTTACCCCCGCGGTGGATCCGAACTCTCTCCACGCGTTCCCGTATCGCCAGTGGCGTGCCGTCGATCAGTCGTGCGTCGATCTCAGGTAAGCTCCGATTCAGTGTCGGTTTAAGTCTCCGTGCTGTGGCAGTATTTATTAAGCTGTGGCTAGCCGTCTACGAATATTTTAACTAAGTCAATGCGGATTCTCCTGCTAAGCAGTGCGGGATTGTCTACCATTGAACCCTCCTTGTACAGCCGAATGTGGTCGTACATCAAGTGGCACAGTCACTCGGTGAGGATCTGTTGGGTCGGGCGAGTGGCATGACCTGTCAGTAGCGGGCCTGTCTGCTACTGAATCCCAGAGTTTCCCTAATGCTTGGTATGTTTTTGCTGCTCGGCTCCCAGTAGCGTTTTCTGGGCATTCGCTCTTATAGTGCCCCGGCCGATTGCATGTGAAGAAGTGCCCTTTAAACAGTGCGGCATTGGCATTTGTGGCGACGAGGCGTATTGTGGTGTGCTCGTTCGTCCCACGAGTCCGGAGTCCCCGGTTGATATTGTTGTTGTAGGACCCCGTCCACGGTCGGCGAAGAAAATCAAGTTTCTCGGCCATGGCGAGAATTTTGTTGAATTCCTTGATGCTGCGGAGAAGGATTTCTTGCCCGATTTCGTTTTTTTCAGACCGCCCACGTAGCGATCGACGCACTCAGCCTCATGGATGTAGCCCACCTGCTCACACAATGCAAGGAACCCGCTAGTGTAGTCCTGGACGAAACAGAGCTGGCACCGAGTACGGAGCTTCTAACGCACTGAAATCGACGCCGCAATTGGCTCGAATCAGCCGCGTAGACCTGCGCACCACGCTTCCCACGTTCGATACTGGGCTACATCCATGAAATATGATGGTGCCCAGGGTCCAGTTGGTCCTTCCCGTGGCGGTAGATTCTCGTCGTCGCTCGGCTTCGTGACGATGATGCGCCATTAGTCCATGGGGGGTCCTTGCAGTAACAACATGGCGTAGCGAATTTTTAACGCATCCGACAAGACGTAATTGGCGTCGAAAAAACACATTCATCGTGAACAGCCACGCCTAAACCGTCGGACCACCCCGTTGACTTGGAACGAAGCACGGCAGACGCTACGGCTTGAGCGGCATCGGTGAAGGCAATGCCGAGTCTTTGGTTGGCGCCGCAATGTTGATGCGACGTTGACTCCCAGCCGCATTTGTTGCTCCCGGGTGTGTTGTCCCATGGTCGTCGCGAACGTCGTTGCGTGCGACGCCATCAGTAGCAGCGCTCGAGGGTTGTCCCACACTTCCGTGCTAAGATGCGTATGGTGC